CTATCTATCCATCCATCCATCCATCCATCCATCCATCCATCCATCCATCCATCCATCCTGGCTATTCATCTCCCAAGCTCCATTGTACGTATCTTTAAGCTGACAGTACCACTAATACTGCAAGACAACAATCTGATAAACAAACTTCATTTGATTGAAATTATAGCTAAGACTCTTCCAGTTCACTCCAAATTCAACTGAAATTCTAGGATCACAACCTGCATCTTTCTTTATAAAAATAAAATAGAATGACATGCAATGGTGGAGAAATGTTAGAATTAAAACATTTCATTCAGAACTCAGGTAAGACTTGCATGACAATGGAAATGTCTACCATTTTTTTTAAAAAAAAAACCTTTGTATCTTAGAATAAAAATGAATCTTTGTACCTTTGTATCTTAGAATAAAAATGAACGGTCAAGGCTATCAAATCTAAAGATGTCAACTGCCATACATCCAACTTAATATTTTTTCCTCAATCTTAACTCACATGCACAAAAACATCTACACAAAGCCAAACATTTTTGAATATGGAGAAGGAAAAAAGATACCTTGTATATGTCAGGGATTCAAACTGATAGCCTGAAAGGCTTGAATACATAGACAGTTTTGCTGTAAATCAATAGTGTGTTGAATTTACTTAATGGGAAAAGTTTGCTAAAAATGTACTCTCATGTAGTGTTCTCTTCCCATCAATAGAAATAGATGGTTTCTATTAACAACAGGTGTTATCAAAATGCATACATAGTAAGTAACTTAAGATAAAGTTACAGCTCCTACTGCAAATTAGATATAATTATTTCTTGTTTACCTCTCTTAGGATACAGCTTCATGTAAAATTTCATCCACTGATCTCTTAAGCCACAGTCCTCCTATGCCTTGTCACATCAAATCAACTCAAATCAATGTTTATTACTGTAATGAACCAGCATAAGCCATGGGGAAGGAATACAGTCAATAAAAGAAGACACAGACATAAATATATATACAAAGGTGTAGGAGAACATGAAAAGTTATATCAAAGATATGGACTGAGTGTAAATTAAAGACCATAAGCTGCTAGGTTTTAAAGTGCTCCATGGTGGAGACTGGGGGCATGCCAAGAATAAGCTATAAGGTTTGGTGTTAACCATGAGCTAAATGTCATTGTATGATGAGTGCTGAGTGCTGCTGCACAGAACCTAGAAACACTGCATGTTGTGGCTGGATTGATGTCCAAAAGCAGAAGGGAAGTGCAAAATTCTCCCATGTGTCCTGGATACTTGTATAGTAGGATGAGGTTGGTGTGGATATCTGTATAAAAAGAGCACTGGAGGAAGATGTACTGTATTGCTTCTATGTGCCCATAGTCAAAGGGCATTGTTGTTCTGAGAAAGGGGTCTTCCTGTATCATTCCCCAAGCACACTTGAAAGGAGGGTGTGACATCATGCCAAAGTAATGGCCCTTGATGAGTTGAGAGTTCTAATTGTCTTGGGTATGCCATGGTGGAAGCAGGTTACCTCAGACCTCCATAGATAAAGTTTACAGCCCTGACAAAGTCAGACCAATGTTATATATTAGTTATGCACTGCATGATAAGAGCTTTGATCATAACCAAGTAGGAGAAGGATGAGATTTAAATCACAATTGCCTGGTTTCTACTTGGATTAAAAATCATTGCTCATGGTTGGGGGGGGGTGTTGGAACCAAGGGGAAAGAAATAGTCTAAGCCAATACCTAAGTAGGGCCACTCTCACCTCTACTTTCATGAGGCTTGTCCCCAGTTGCAGAGTGGCATTGGACACACAGCTAGTGACCTGAAGGACTTAAGAATTTTGATTGTACAAGCTCCAGTAAGGCAAAATTGGAAAAGGGACCCAAGTGAGCACCATGAAAAAACTGTGCTACTGGCTTGGCGTCAAACAATTTATGAGCTGCATGTATGTAATGGCCACCTTTGGAGGATGGCAGATGGGCTCCTCTGTGCAGTTTGAACAATGAAGTTCCCATTAGCTTTCTTATTGCTGACAGGGTAAAGGACTAAACTATTTGAAACAGGAAAACTGTTCAATCTTGTGGCCATCTGTACTTAATTAAATGGGTCTTGGCAAACGCCATGATTTTGGTTTCCTAGTAGTTAAGTTCCAGCAGGTCTTCCTTGCAATGTTGTCCTAGAGTCTTCAGTGCTCTTTTAAGGCCAGTAAGAGTCCTTGAGAGTATCACTGTATTGTCTGCTATAGCAGGATAGAAAAGTGTGCCTAGCAAGTTTTGGGGAGTGAAAGTCTGGGTTGTTGAGTTAGCCTCCCACTGGAGTTAATATAAAAGTTGAATAGGAGTGGTACCAGTATGTAGCCTTACTTAATGCCCATGCAGGTTTCAGTAGTACTATGCAAGATGGCTCTGGAGGTTTCACCTTACTTTGAGCAACATGTCTTCAAGTAGCATTCATATTAAGAATAATAAGCACCAGACAATTGAGGTGACCTTCAGCTTCTCCCTCAATTTCACTCATGAGACAAAATCAAATGTTGCTTTAAAATCTATGAAGATAGCACAGGGAGAGGCCATACATTTTTCAAGGAGGGGCCAAAGTACTAGAAACTAAGTCTTTAGTCTCCCTATCTTTCCCTTTTCAACAATCCTTTGGTTGCAAGCCACTCAGAGAATGGTTTTAAGATGGCCAGCCATATAAATGTTTTAAATGAATAAATGTAGATAAATAAATAAACTTTCCCCAAACCAGAACAATTCAATTACCATACTTGTTTAAAGTTTGCAATGATGTTATTAAAAACTACAGAAAAATCCATTTATTGGAATGCATTGCAAAACTGTGCCAGAATGAAAACACAGAACTGTTACAAAAGAAATTTACATATTGATCCTGGCACTTTAAAAGCATGCTTTAACTGGTTTCTTTTAGAATTAGGGAGAATTTTCAGCAGAAAATAGGGACAACTTCCTAACCCTAACTGGGGGGACGTTCCAGATGAGTTATCCATAGCTTTTTCTTCAAAACAAAAGTTTGAACTTTCAGTGTCAGAAAAAAAATCATTGTACTTGCTTTGAACAAGTCATGTTTGCAATTAAAAATTGTTCAAAGCTAAATTGAATAACATCATAAAAACTGCAGAAAAATCCATTTATTGGAGGACATACATAATTGGGTATATCTGAAATGTTATGCAGAATTCTCACAAAAGAAATTGACAAATTGATTAGGAAATGGAATAGTATGAATAACATTTTAAAAGACAAATATACATAAAATAAACACAGGACAAAAGCTATCCATTATGTAAACAATGTACTGTAAGTGGTACATTGCAATGCTTAGGGAGAAGTACTAGTGTGATAACCTTGAGAGAGGGGATAGTTCTGCTATCCTTACGAAAGCAATGGTCCACCTCTTCCTCAAGAAGCCACCCTAGACCTGCCCATTTTGGACAGTTAGACCTTTGCTCTGCTAGCTGCACTGCCTAGCCACTCCCAATTTGCTTCTAGGTGTAATTCAAGGGATTGGTTATTACCTGTAAAGCCCTACATGGCAAGGAACATGGTATTGGAGGGTTAAATTTACTTCCATTATTTTTACCCATCCCGTTATATTGGGCAGGAAGGGCATGCACTGGGTCTCATCAACCAGGGATTGTCATCTAGCTGGACCTAAGAAGTGTGCATTTTCTGTAGCTGCACCTGCCCTCTGGAATACCATAATGCCTGAGGTTCACCTGACCCAACTCTGCACATCTTCTGGAAAGTCTTAAAGATGTGGGTGTTTTCCCAGGCACGGGGACCAGGAAAATAATTGACCCATGCTGCTGGTATATGGTGTTTTCAGAAGCCATTTTGTTTTTTAGTTGATTGGGAAATGTATTTTTATATATTTTATTTATATTGTTTTGGGGGGGGGGGTTAAATCTTTGTTAGCTGCCCAGAGTCACATTTGAGATGGGCAGTGATATAAATCTATTTAAATTAATAAATAAATATAAAGTTAAAATGATTGGATTAGAACAATGAAGTTCTGATTTAAATCAACATTCAACCATTTTCAAGGAGATCATCAGGAATCGCTCTGAAGTCCAGGACCTCACTGATAAGGAATCAGAGGAACTGTGGAATGGACTCAGGGAAGCTGTTAAGGATGAATGTGATTCATCTCATTGTTCTCATGAGAAATCTATGCACAGGATGGGAAGCCACAGTCTGGACAGAACATGGCAATTAAGTGAGACAAGGCTGTAAACATATATGCTTATACACACACACACACACACATACACACACACTTACATACATACACCACACTAGACAGGACCCAAGGTGCAGACTGTGCAGAGAAACCTTAGAGACAATCCAACACCCAGTGGCAGGGTGTAAGATTACACCCAGGAACAGCATATGCTGAACGACACAACCAAGTAGCTGGCATTGTGTACAGGAACATCTGCACATTGTATAAGCTAGACCCTCCCAAATCGAGATGGGCATTTCCACAGAAGTTCGTGGAGAATAACAGGGCTAAGATCCTGTGGGACTTCCGATTCAGACAGACAGGCAGGTACTAGCCAATCAACCAGACAACATGGTAGTTGACAAGGACCAGAAGACAGCGGTAGTGATAAATGTAGCAGTGCCAAGTGACAGCAGTATGAGGAAGAAGGAGTATAAGAAGCTGGAGAAGTACCAGGGCCTGAAGGAGGAACTAGAGAGAATGCGGAAAGTAAAGGCCAAAGTGGTCCCAGTGGTGGTAGGAGCACTTGAGGCTGTGACTCTTAAGCTGGGAGAGGGTTCCAACAGATCCCAAGAACAACATGAGAGCTCTCTCTCCAGAAGAGTGCAATATTAGTAATAGTCAAGATACTGCACAGAACCCTCAAACTCCCAGGCCTCTGATAGGGGACTCAAGAAGACACATACCACCCATAGAAGTGAGAGGGGTTAGTTGTTTTTTTTAAATTGAGGGAAGTGAGACTGGAGGAAGATGAGATGGTTTTCAAATTGGCAGAAGAAATATTAATAATCTGCACTATGCTTATGACACTAATCTGACAATGAAAAATACAAATGATCTACAAGCTCAAATAATGAAAGTCAGGGGGAAAAATCAGACTAGAAGACCAAACTAGCGACAACAGGTACAGTAAGCAATGAAGATACTGAAGTGATAAAGTAGTGACTAAGAGTTGATACTGACTTGATGACACATAATCAGTCAGTCAAAGCTAACAAATGAAGAAATGGATACATAAAGAAGTACTGTGCATGTGCTGAAATGTAGCTTCTACAGAACAGATGAGTGTCCTAATGATGTTAGATTTCATCCCCTTAGATTAGCATGCCTCAGTTCAGCTATATGGCTGGCTACACATTGCCCATCCACACTCTTTCATACTGGTTTCCTTTGAACACATGAATGAATGTATTCTGAAATATTCTAGCAAAATATTTTATTTCTCACACAATATGGCTGAACAAAGAATACCTTTTTCAAATGAAATGAAAAATCTAATTTCAAATGAAATTGCTGTGTAGAAGTATTCATCTACAAAAATTATTCTCCAAGCCTTGCTAAAGATGCTAACAAGCATCACCCCCTTCTCCAAATCAAAACCCTCTACCTTAACCAACGTTCACCTGCTACTCTTTCTTAATGAACACATGCTCTGAGTTAGCCTGTAGTCTGGGATCAGCTAGAGTTCCCTACCATGTAACAACATCATTTGTATAGCCCAATATTATGTTTTCTTTGTTTGAGAAATACCTACTTCTCCAATTCTAAAACACTATTGTTTTAGCTCTTTTAATAATTTAAAGGGGCATCCTGAAATACAAAAGTAGTAACAGATTAGTAAGAAAGTAAAAACCTATATTTATACTGCTCCACTCACAATCCAGTCATTAAAAACTGCCAATAAATTCATGCTTTGGATAGTATAAATGTGGGTCCTGGGCTGTCCTCAATAAAAAACAAGCTTACTTTTTTGTGGGGGGTGGGGACAACTCAGCTCTAATACACTTCTTCTTTAAATGTTTGTCAACTACACAGTTTTCCTCGTTTTTATTATCAGTTTAAAAGTTACCTTTTGTTGTTCTTTGCTTATTCTAATATATATTGTTATGTGTGAATTTACCCATTATGATGCAACAGTATTTACAAATCAGGCCATTATAAGTTGTCAAGAAACCAGGGTGTCCATAGGGGAGGGGGTCAAAGAAGTAAAGACGGTGCCTATGACACATGTAAAAAGGGGTGGGGCTTCAATAATTACTAACATCTTAACACACCAAAAACAAACAAACAAACAAACAAACAAACAAACAAAGAAGGGTAAGAGAAATAAGTAATTTTCCATTTTTTATGGACACATCTTGCAAAACAACCAGGGAACACTTTCTTTTCTTGAATTTACAATTTTTTTCCTGCTTCTATAGATCTCTAGCTTCCCTTTTTATTTGTTTCTTAGATTTATATTTTCCCTTTCCTTAGGAGTTCACCTTATCATACATGGTAGGCACTCCTCCAATTTTTCTCACATACAACAGAGTCAGACTGTCTGGCTGAGGAATAGGGAATACCTTAATCATTTAGGTAATAGCCAGAGGCACCTCTTCATCAATCATGTTTAATTTTGAAAAGCTAAGCAAGATCACACCTGGTTAGTATTTCAATGGGAGATCACCACAAAATCCTAAAACATCCTAAAAGATGGAAATGGCAAACTTCTTCTATATTTTTACCAAGAAAACAATGATGTCTCCATGTCATCATTAGGAACTGAGCTCAATTCAAAGGAAACTTCATCTTTTTACAATCACTCAGCGACTTTCCATGGCCAAGTCTGAATTAGAGTCTTAGTCTGTCAGTTATAGACCAATCCATTAACCAATTTATTAATCCAGATAGCAGCAAACCACAGTTAGCACAAACTGTGATTTATATGACCTCTTTGAAGGATGATTTGATATCCTGGTTTAGAAACCTGTTGCATACCATGATTTATAAGCAAATGTAGCTTCAGACAAAATAGTTGAAAACTATGAAAAAGCCCATAGTTCAGTGTTTTATATGAAACCCTTTAACTAATTCCAACTAATCATTAAAAAACTATATGAAAATAATCCTGTTAATGGATACGTCTTCAGTTTTTGCATTAAGAGCAACATGTTTTTTAAGGGCCACTGCAGGACTGTTTGCTTAGTTAAGCTTATGATGGAGATGGAATAGGAAAGATCTAGTCATTTGCTCCATTTCTGTTCAGCTGGACCGGTATGTTAATTTGCTAGTATACCTCTAATCTTGGAGCTGCATTTTCTGCAAATAATTCTATCTCCACAGATATAATTATGTGATAAAAGTAATAAGCAAATCATCAGTATACAGAAATAAATTTTAATAGTCATGGTGGTGGTACTGCAATATTGTAAATGCTGCTTGGTATGAATAACACTTGATGGCAGAAAAGATTACATCAACTTTAGTTAAAAGACAAAATATTCAGCAAGAAGATCTGTAAAAATTAGTTAACAAATATTATAAAAATATTAAGTCATATGAAAACAAGTACAAACCTCTTCTTTTGTTTTCTTGTTTTCTTTTTTTAAATCTTCATATTCACCAATAGCTATAAAGACAAAAAGGAATTTTAGTAATACATTTGGAAAAAATGTATTAGTTTTTATAACTTCTGTAAGACTTTACTACAGTGTTAGACCAGTGTATACATATAAGATCCCTCACAGGTTGTAAACAGAGTGGTAAAGGAGGACCCAAAAAGCAACATAAAAATGAATAAAAAAGAATTTAAAAAGAAAATTGTAAGTTTTTTTTTTAAAAAACAACAACAACAATCATGTTGGATATTATTTGCTGCTGTATTCTCATAGCTGCTAGGCAAAATTTGACCACATTGTGAGTAACAATATCTATGGTCTGCTAGGAGAAAAGAGATATACCAATCATCACCTCTACCTGACAGTCTTTTTATGAAGGGCCTAATTAACATTGCACATAATTCCCTATTAAAAATACAGTTTGGCAGAACGCGTTGTACATTTTCTACAGTGTGGGAGCCCTGTGGGCAGAAATATTCCTAGTAGGGAATCTTTCACTATCTACCATCAGTGACTGCTGAACACAATACATCAAACCTGGGGAGGGTAAATGCTCTGTGATATCTATAATTTGTTAAGTGTTGAAAATAGTCAGCTGGCATGGTAGTGAAGGACAGCATCTCAGACTTATGTTGCCTTTGTGCCATACTAATATCTTGCTTGCATTCTGTAATCTGAAAATTCTCTTCTTTGGTACTTTTTTGGCTTGATCATACTCCATCCTTTTAGGGCTTTACTGGAGAAGCCATATAGAACCAATTTCCTTTTGATACGTATCTTCCATGTAAATTGAAAATTATCATTGTCTATCAAAGGATCAAATTTAGCCCTGTTGGGATAAATTTACAAGTTCTTGCACATTAGAACTACGAAGACCCATTTCCAAGTCTTTTCTATTAACTAACAAATTTAGTAGTTGGCATAAAAGACATATAAGTAAGTAAATTTATTGTTGTAACTACAGATCATATAATGTACTATAAGATACAATAAATAACAGTACAATAGTAAGATTGTGAAATGAAGTAATAAAAAGAGTACTAGATTTAAGAATGTTAAAACAAGATAAAGCCGGACCTACAACTAAGAACTTAAGTATTTCCTTCTAAGTTTAAATGACAGCAGAGCAGAGGTAGCAACCTGGTTGCTAACAGTTGGAAACACATCTGCAAAAACATAGTTCAATTGTTCAAGTACCAACCCTTGAGATCATCTACCATCAATAATTTGACCCTAATCTCCTTGTAAATGGGCAGTGTAGGACATAATAATGCCCTCCACTTGACCAATACCACACAGACAGAGATGTTATTTGGCAGGACACTTGCAAAATCTCCCTTTGAGATATGCTGGGAACATGGTCTGTAGGCAAAGGGTTGTACAAGCCCTTGTCAGTAAGGCTCTGGTAATATTTACCAGGTACTGGGAAAGACTTCTATATTTTTTATAGCGATGGTACCAAGATGAAAATTTGGATGACTGTACTGCAGTGGCATCTTTCTTGGCATCCTTTTCGAAAAGCCTATCTCTAATATTTTTTCTGTCCTAAGAGCTAAGCTCTCCCAAAGGTGGTAGAAAATACATTTGTAGCATGGGTGACAAAAATTTGGTCCTTTGATTTCCAACTGCATAATGGAGAAAACAGAGTCTGGCAAGGTGGGATTCTTGAAGGATTTCTAGTTTCTTATAGTGCCCCAGAAATGCAAGATGTATTCTAATGGCGATGAAAGGTAGCCCTACCTCCATCTTTAAGCAAGCAGTGGGGGGCGCTGGGAGAAACCCAAGATCTTCCTTATGAAGTTGTTTCAGACTACTTCCAATTCGGCAATACCCTTCTCATCCCATTGCCATATCTTAGCTTCATAGAGCATCTGGGCTATCATCTTGCCCTGGAATATTTTAAATGCAAGGGCTACCATCTGCCATCCTTTAGAATAGAAAAACTTCCGAATAGTGCCCATTGTATCTTGGGCAGTTGCTAAGATAGCAGTTAAATGTGTTTTCCATGTAAGAGCTTATGAAAGGAGATACCTAGGTATTTAAAAGACGGCATTGCTCTATTCACTGGGCATCAACTTTCTATCTGTGTTTAGTATTACTTCTGCCAAAGACCACTACCTTTGTTTTATTATAATTTATCCTGTTTTTCCCTTTCACAATAATCAACTAGGCTGGCCAATAATCTTCTAAGGCCAATCTCAGTGCCATCAACATACATTAACACTGAAATTTTCCATACATTAAGTATGGAAGGGAGAAACAACTCTGTAACTTCATGACCACTGTTGTTGTTAAGTCGTGTCTGACGCTTCGTGACCCCATGAACCATATTGCGCCAGGCCTTCCTGTCCTAC